AGATAAATATTTTCTCATACTCTAGAATTAAATTTATAATCCCTATTCCATGAGACATTATAGCTCAAAGATATCTTAATTAAAACTATCTTTAGATAAGTTTCTCTTCAAAAAGCATTTATAAAAAAAATCTGTTTTAAATAAAAACCGAATTTTTTGATTTTTTTAAAAAATCATTGATTTTTATCCATCCTGATAGATAAGAGAATATTTATAATTCTGTATCTCTGAATGTTTAATGCCAAGAGGATTATTTCCCAGCCACCTTCCCTCAATCTAGTATGATTTTGTTCTTGTTTTTTCTGCATGTACCTGTTCATTTCTTGCCTTTTGAGGGAACATTTTTTGTTTGATTATTTTGTTGGTGTATTTTCCCTGCTGAAAGGCTCATTTGGCAAGACTACCAATGAGGGGTAGGGGTTGGCTTACATTTCTGGATGCTAGAGTTGTTCTTAGAGACCAGAAACCTTTAAAGCTTAGAATTCTGCCCTCATGTACTTAGAAGTGGAGATCTAGGAGGGAGAATCCCATGTGATTGTTAGATCTTCAGAGACATGCTAAGTGATCTTTTCATTACATGAGGAAAAGCAAATATGGCTTTAGAATTCTGAAAACAAGAATTTCATACTAGTTTACAGGATTGGCATATACTTTAAATTCCTTACACAAGCCTTTCCATGGAAATGATGTCCCATCATATTTTGAAGAGGGAGTTGAGAGTTCTTCATGTTCAGAAGTTTCCTTATTCAGTGACTTTCTGACTTTTTGTTCTCTGACTTGCTTAATAAGATGCACCATTCATGGACCATGTTCTCTTGCAAAATTTCACTGCTTTAGTTCTCAAAGTTTTATTCCGCTAACCACCAGGAATGGCTCTCCACATCTTTGCTGGACCATGGACTGTAGCTTGTGAATCACTTTTCTCTTGTTTCTGACCTTCCTTACTGATCCTCTTAGTCTGACACTACTTAACCTGAGTCTGATAGTCTCTGAACGTTTGACATGCTTTTTAGTCTTTTCAGGGTACCACATGTCCCTTTTATTGCTTTCCCATTTCTCTTGTCCTCCTGCTATCTTTAAGATGCTTCTCCATTGTAATCCTTGCTGTTTCCTTTCACTCACTGATTTGTTTAGTTCTCAGGAAGCAAGTGAAGTCTTTTCTATTCCTTCTGATGTGAAATTATATGAAGTTTAGGCCTGCCTCCTGGAAACTGTATGCTTAGCAGAATTAAGGGCCCCTTTTTTCTCCTCTTCTCAACTTCATCTGTAAATAGTAACTAAATTACAAGACTGTCGAAAGGAAGCTGCTATTGGAAGATCCACTGTTGAAGTATAATGCAAGGCCTGTCCTTTGCACAAACTTCCCCCAAATAATGGAGGCTAAAGGATGGTCTGTTTACATTTTACTGAGGCAAATGACTGCAGCAATTTATGAAGTAATAAGGGAGGATTGGAAAGTAGGCCTTTTGGGCAAGAATTTTGTTTGTATAGTTTTATCTGTGGTGCTTGGATACTGCAGTGTTGGGGGCATTAAAATTTAAATAGAATTGAAATTGCTTCATCTTAGTCTATCCAACTAATTCTTCTCTTGCTAATCCCCAGCAGCAAAACTTTCAGAAGGCTTTTTTTGGTGATTTACTTTTCATTTCTGAAGTAATGCTTACTTCCAAGACTGCAGATACTAAGGTCTTGCAACTTGGTACTGTATCATTGTGATCCCTATTGAGCAAATATCTAATGGAATTCAGACTTAACCTGCTTCTTATTTCTGATACTAATTCTTTATCTTCAATTTTAATATTTTAGTGAGGACTACTGTGGTCATACTCTTTGACTTTCAGTAGAGTTGGCACTTCCCCTTAATCAGCATTATAATAGTGTGAAAATAGTGTATTGGCAGCAATGTCAGTTGTCTAACAAAGTTTTGAATAATTTCTCTTTGAAAGTAAAGTAAAATATCTGCTATAATAGAGCATTCATGAAATGAAAGTTGTTTTAAGAAAGGTTAAAATTAAACTTGATCACTAACTATTTTATGTAATATAGTGTCCAACTGTAAACATTAGGCAGCATGCTCCTTAGTCATTAAAATTGTATGAATTCATAATATAGTAGGTGATCTTTTGTGGAAACACTTTTTGGTTTTATATTTAACTGTAAAAATAATACACAGATAACTGACTCAGTACAGATTAAGAGATGCACAGTACCTATGGCATATCTCTTAAGTATTTGTGATCTTCCTAGATAAGAAAACTTGGGGCTGTTGCAACGTATCTTGCCAATGACATTCCAAGCATCTCCACATGCAAACTATCTGAAACTATGCCAGTTTGTTACCTTAGTGGTGACACTGCATAGCCACGTGAGCTATGGGTTTAATTCCTGATCCTGCTGTCTTTTACTCTCGTATTCTTCCTGTATAGGGAAGGAATGGTTTACATTGCTTATAATTCTACTCTTTGCAGCCAAATAGGCTCATAGTGGGCGTTACCCAGTGAAGATTCATTGAATTTTGTAACTTTGTTTTGGGTCTCAAAATTGGGATAATATTTTAAGGTGATGAGCAAAAGAAGGGAAAAAGGACCTCTCCTTTTAGCTACTCCATGATTTATAAAGGAAGTCTTCTGTTTGCTTTTACACTAGAAACGCAGGTCGTATCTGTTCAAAAAATGACTGACTTAGGCTTTGTCTACACTGGCACTGAAAAACAAAACTTTTGTTGTTCAGAGGTGTTACCTCCCACCCCCGTAAGACAAAAGTTTGCCAACGAAAAGTGTTGTTGTGAACAGCGCTTTGCCGGCAGGAGCACTCTCCTGCCGACAAAGCTGCTGCTGCTTGTTGGGGGTGGAAGTTTTTTGTTGGCGGCAGAGCTCTCTTCTGCCAACAAACAGCAGCTAGACTGTGCGCACTGCTGTGTCACTACAAGGTGCGTAGTATAGACAAAGCCTTAGTTAAGTGAAAGCTGAGAAATTGAGGGGAAGGGATTTTTAATGATTCAAAACTTTATTTTTTGATAATTAAAACCTATTTAACTTCAGTGACCAACACTTTGGAAAAGGACATCATTGTTAAAAATCTAAAACTCCCTCACTTACGGTGCAAGAGCTCATAAACATGCTCTGAGACATCCAATAGCTCCTCCAGCAAAATTGGTGTATGTGGGGTTGGGAGTGAGGCATTTTTCATGTATCATAAAGAAACAAAAAAGGTGTAATCTCATTAAGTTTTTGCAGTTGAGGTGGTCTGCATGAAGGCGAGCTGGCTAACTTCAAATACTAGCTGATGCTGTAATAATTGCTTGAATAGTTGATGTGAAGGTGTGCTATTCATCTGACATAGACGCTTGATTATTTTGTTCTGGTTTATCTTCAGATCTCATTAGTTGATCTGAATTTTTTTTAAAACTTCTTTTTGTTTTTCCTTCTAGATTTTGGATCCCTCTTTGATCTGGAACATGATTTACCAGATGAACTAATCAGCTCCACAGATTTGGGACTTACCAACGGTGGTGACATTAATCAGCTGCAAACCAGTCTTGGCATGGCACAAGATGCTGCATCTAAACATAAGCAGCTGTCTGAACTGCTGCGGGCTGGTAGTTCCCCAAACCTCAACATGGGGGTTGGGGGACCAGGCCAAGGCATGGCAAGTCAAACCCAACAGAACAGTCCTGGAATGGGAATCTTAAACAGCATGGTTAAAAGCCCCATGGCACAGGCAGGTTTGACGTCTCCAAATATGGGGATGGGTACAAGTGGCCCAAATCAAGGTCCTTCAGCCCAGTCAACTGCAGGAATGATGCCCGCAGTAAATAGTCCAGTTAATCAGCCTGGCATGGGAATGAACACAGGGATGAATGCTGGCATGAATCCTGGGATGCTGTCTGCAGGCAATGGACAGGGGATGATGCAAGGGCAAGTCATGAACGGTTCAATTGGAGCAGGAAGAGGGCGACCCAACATGCCATATCCAAATCCAGGAATAGGTAATGCTGGTAACTTGTTGGCTGAGACACTGCAGCAAGGTTCTCCCCAGATGGGAGGACAGACGGGACTGAGAGGGCCACAACCTGGAGCAATGAACAAGGTAAGGAAAGCTTGGTTACTTTACTTATTCCATGTGGTAACTTTGACATCATTTATAAGAACTAGGGTAGAAAACTCATTCTTGACCTGTCTTCAAAACCCGTATTATAAGGGAACACTTCCTTCTAGATAATTTGGTACAAAAGAATTGGCAGCATTCAAAGGAGTTATATAAAGGTGAGAATTACAGATCTTATAAGAAGCTACATTCATTAGAGACATGTACCAAAATTGCTGGATAAAGGTCTGTTACTTTTTAAAAAACCTGTTAATTTTTTACATTGTCATCACTACCACTCTAAATTAAACTAAAGATTCTCTGATGTATTTTGATGTGAGAATGTAGTTTTTATTACTGTCCATAAATACGTTCCTTGGTGGAACAAGTGGATTTGAATCCTTTTTATTAAACATTGACTTAAATTTCTATGGACCCATATTGGAATTCTTACTGGGTAAGTGTTAATCTGCCGAATTTGGTATAAAATTTGGAAGACTCATTCCAAGGTGAGGGAATAAAGAGGATTGAAAAAAGAATAGAAAATATTCTTGGGTAATGGGGAAGGAAATGAGTTTTTAATATTGGGATGGGGAAAAGAGTAAGGAGGAGTGGTACTGGGGCATTTTGAAAATGGAAATGATCTGGCATGACAGAGTTGAAACTACAAATACGCATTCCCCTTTTCAGAAATAGTCTGACCTGGAATATTTTTCCAAGCTTTGGGTTCAACTCTAAATCAAAAGTCAGAACAATCAGTCAACTATTATGCAATTTCCATCCAGAGTGAATTATATCATGTCTTGGTCAAAGAGGGAAAGTTATTCTAAACAACACTTTAAAGAGAGATTTATTCAGATGCTGTAATCAAAATGAAAATTTTGGAAGCTTATTGGGTTGGGATGCTTTTTTCCAGCCACCTTATTCCATAAAAAGCACCCTTAAACTTAAAAAAACCAACCAAACAGATTTAGAATATTAGTCTGTAATGTGGACTAGATCTTAACTAGTATTAATAAAATGGTCTGAAATAATTGCCTTACAAATATCCTAAGAAATAAACTTTAAAAATCAAAACTGACCCTGTGAGCTTGATGTAATAGTAAATATGGTACCTAGTGGGTGGAAGCATATCTAACAATGAACTGGCCTTTGATTGGATTGATTGTTAATATTAATCTGGTAGACTACGATCACTTGGACTGTTTGGTAAACATGACCGTTACAAAAGGATGTGTTGCAATATATTGTTCAAATGGTGCTGTAAAAAGGAAATTAAACATAATTGTTCAATGTAACTGAAATTTCTCTAAGGGCAGAGTCAGAAGCATATCAAAACAACTATACAGAAAGGAATTTTGATGCATTGTTCTCTATAGTCCAATGTGGAATTTTATTTCAAGTTAAAAATTGACACTAATTTCAAGATTAATACATTGCAGTTCAAGATGGATTTTAATTACTAGATTTAAGTATCAATAAAGCTGATCAAATTTCAAAACATCTGTTTAATTTGGAGAAAATCTTTGCTAAGATTGCAAGGTCAGTCTTTGAATTGATATAGTTAATTTACACTGTCCCCAACCTATTTCAACCTAAGCCCTGAAGTGTGCCGTGTGGATCCAAATAAGGAAGGAAAGCATTTCAAATTTGATCTAGTTGCTTGCTTTTTGGGATTTCAAATCAAATACATGAGTGCAGTATGTGGAATTTTTAATTTGCTATCTGAGTTGATAGAAAATATATTTGAATAGGGTTTAACGTGGAGAGAGAAACCTTAGCTATAAAGATGCATGAAATTTTGTTTGAGCCTATGTTTCAATGTCGTATTTGATTGTAATATACATTGCTCATAAAGTAGCTGAACTGCCTGATGAGAAGGAACAGTCTGAAATGGAGGCTGAAATTCCAGAATGTCTTCATTTGGTTTAGTTGTTGGCAGGGAGCCGATGTTTCACTACTTGCAGTGGAGTTAGCAGAAGCTAATAACAGTAATATCTCTGACCATTGTATCTTTCCACCCATCTGGCCTCATCATTCCCACCTCCAAATTTTCAAAAAATAGATGGAAAAGGAAATTAAACATAATTGTAAATATAACTTTTTATTGGCTGTTTAAAAATATTTTGGTAAATTACAGTGGTAGTTTTTTAACCTGGGAGCCTGGATTTACTAATGTGTAGTGGCTCTTCAGTTTGAGTAGCAGAAATATGCTTTGAAGGCCTATTGTTGCTCTATGGAGTTAGTGAAACATTTCCTCGGTGATGTTTAACTGGTGATGTAGTGGATCGGGGTGTGCCTAAGAGGAGCCGGCAGAACTTGAGAAGTGGGAAGGGAGCTAGCGCAGGGTGTGCTTTGCCTGAATGAGCCTGCTGCTAGCTGTGTTTGATTTAGGTTAAGGTGGGGGGTGGGAGTTCACCTATTGTTCTTGCAACAGGAATTTGAAGGCCATCTGTTCTGTTTACAACTACTGAGACTGTTTCAAATGTAAGCATTTTAAGGACACTTTCAAGTTAAAATTTTGATTGTGTTGATGAATGAAGGATTTTAAAAAATACAGGAAATAGGTAACATTTTATTCATTCGTACTGCATAAGTCCTGCAACTTAAGTTAGGTGCATAAATATAAAATTCATCAGTTCTATAAATAAAAACCCCACTTTGTTAAAAGTCCTTATACTTGTTTTGCAAGGTAGTATCTTCATGTCTGCATCAAACTTATTTCTAAATAAATTCCTTAGTTTCAGTATGAAGAGGAAACTTTTATTACCAAGGTTCCATGATATTGAATATGCAGGGTGCCGGCTTTGCAATCCAGTGGAAGAAAGCCTGGCACACCCTTGAGGACAGACAAATCTGTTTTAAAAATTTTCCTGAGATGAGCTTTATTGCATGTTGTTACCAAGCTTGTTGGGATGCTTATTTGGAGATAGGATTGTGTGCTTGGAACAGAATTGCTCTAAATTTACAGAGGATTATCCTTTTTGATAGCTACCTGGACTTTATCTTCATGACCAAAGGTTTAGTCTCACCTCCTGAATAAAGCTGGACTTAGGAGTAAGATGGTTATTTGAGGCTTATTTGTCTTTAGGAGCCTAGATATACTAGCCTCAAATTGGACAAGTTTCCAATTGGTATTTTATAAATTCACAAGTCAAATAATATCTATACTATCCCAACTCCATCAGCCCTGAGCCAGTTAATCTTCAACAAAATACTCATTTTATTCTGCCTCTTTGGCTGTTCAGCAGCTTGCTGTTAGCACCCTCTGGTTACTATCATGTTGCCTGGTCTACTCATGTTCTTCAGAATGGGAAGGTGTTTCATAAACAAATATGATAATTTGTGTATTTCTTTGGTGGTGGTTGCACTCTGCTGTCCTGCGTGCCACAAATCTGAAGGTAAAGTGACGCCAGCCATTTGAAATAAATATTTTTAATGTCTGTTCTTCCAATAATTTTTCTCCTAGTATGAAAAGGAGAGGAGACTAGTCAGTCCTGATACATCATGGACACCAATCAGAACGCTTCATTTCTATGTAAAGCTTTAAATCTGTTTGAAATATTTTTAAAGAATTGCAGTTGAGCAGTCCTCAAATCATCTGATTCAATACATAATTTTGGGAGTATACAAAGTTCAGAAGTTAGGCTGTTAAAAACATGGGGCAAACTTGTTCAGTTCACTTTGTAAAAATCTAGAATTGGTTTATATTAGAGGATGGTAACTTGGCTTGGTCCCTACCTTACTGTAGTAAGATGAGGCCCTGAAACATAAACTCTTGTGTCAGAGGCCCAGTCTGAGGCCTGAACCAAAGTACTTCCAGGCATTGCTAAGCAAAAGTTGGGCTGGGAGCCAGAGGCAGGCCCCACTCACAGAAGTTGGCGAGAAGAGGGCTGCTAGAAGCAGGTGCATCCACACATAAGTGCTAATAAGAGGAACTTGTGCCAAAATGGCATCAGAACACTCCACAGAGATAACGAGGAACAGGCAGGTGCATCTTAAAGACAGGGTCAAAAGGACAGCATGATGGATAGATCATGTTTGAAACAACATGATCAAAGGGGGAGACAGCACCCTAATGAGTCTAGGGGCTGTACCTCAATATGTCAGTAGGGATGAGTAATCTGTCCTGTAACTTGTATAAAAATAGGTCCCAGAGTGCGCATCTTTGTCCAGCCTAGGGGGCAGTGGAATGTCCCGCCACTGACTGAGCTGTGTCCATTGCCAGGGGGCACATATTCGTAGTATGTCCTGTAGAGTCTATAGGAAACTATTACTGTGCTTTGTTTGTTTAACAATAAACCTGGCTCGGGTTCCTTCGTACCCTACTAGAGTCTGTGGTCTTTGGAGGTTCTCTTGGGGTTTGCTGTGTCGGCTATCTGCGCAGAACTGGGGTAGCACACAGAAGGAACATGCACGCAGCCGACTGTTATCATCGAACAAGAGCAGAGCACCACACCGGTAGCCACTGACAACACTTACCAACAAACAAAACTTTTAAAAAGTAGAATTCAGTTGTAACTGAATGAAGAAAAGATATTCTTAATTTTGTAGAAAGAACTTTTTTTTCCCTTCACAACTTCAATGCATCCCAGCTGAAATTATGCCAAATTAGAATCCTCCAGGTAGCTTAATTTTAAAATGACTTGAGTCTTATGAATTGTGCTGCCCAAGGCTTGAAGAAGGGGAAAAATTAATTATTGTAGTAGATATGGAACTTCTGAAGTTGGTGCAGTTAAGGGACATAATAGAAATGGTCTTCTCTTTGGCATCATTAAATCACACTTTTAGGGGTGATATTTTGGCCATAGTATTGCTATGCATTCTTTAAATAGCTGCTGTTTTCCATCCCAAATGTGGACATTTCAGTGGTGGGTGGATTGATGTGTGTGTAAAGTGCTTTTGGATGAAGGGTGCTTTTATGATTGTATGTTGTTCTATTTAAAGAATTAAAATTCACTCTTAGCTGGGTGTATAACTTTTTTTTTCCTGGGTGGGGAGGA